GCAGGAGGCCCCACCCCGGCACACGCCCCCGCTTCCGCCTCTCCCTCCGCATAGGCTCTGCTCCTCCCTCTTTGCACGGCGGCAGGCTTTCCCGTTGCTCTCCCAGCTCTCTATAGACTCTATTTTTATATCTATTTAAAACATAGAAATGTATAAATATATAGGATATTATTTATAGATATATAGACGTGATTTAATCTCTTACTCTGTGTGTATACGTACTGCATATGTCCATATATACAATATATATGCTGTAGCATCTGTATGATACACTGCACATACCCCCTGCTGCCATACACTCTCCTAGGGAGACTGGATTGCATAGGTATTTCCAGGGCAACACCACTTGAAGGGATGGGGTGGGGCGGGCAGAGGAGGGGAGGGAGAAGGGAAAGCCAGATGGAAGAGGAGGGCTGTACCATTTTCCTCCCCAAAGGGCACATTTTCTCCCTCGGACTAACACACAAGGATCACCTCAAAGGCTCCTTAAAACATTGCAGCTCCGCCCATTCAGCGAAAGGACCCAGTGAGCAGAGAACAGGAGAGGCGTCTCCCTCGGAGCAGAAGGGCCCCGCGTGTTTAGGGAGGAAATCTTCCTTCCTCAAGATGCCAGGAGGAAACCCGGCCAGGACTCCTGACCCAGCACAGAAACCCAGGGCCACTCCCACGAGGCTGGTGTCTGGAAGGAGACCACCTCAAGGTCACCTGCTGTCCAGATGCACCTTTTGCACCTAAGGAGGCCTGGCCTCCCTGCTTTGGCTGTCCTGGGCTGACCTGGCTAGGGTAGCCATTGAAGGGGGCACAGGTTCGGTGTCACCAGAACCCTCTTCACAAACTGGGCATAGGACCTAGAAAAAGCACAGATTCTGGCTGGAGATCAACCCAGACCACAGGCCAAGACCAGATCCAGAATTCCTCTTCCGAGAGGGGATGGAAGGGAAAACGCAGGGGGAAGAATCTAGAAAAGAAGTTCTACTTCAACCCCAGGCCACCTCCTGGACCCCACGCGGCTCAGGTGAACAGCGGCCCCACAGCCCAGCTGGGCCAAGCCTCTAGTCCATTCCTGTCTCGCTTGCGATCAGTTTCAGTATTCTACATGCTTTTCCCTGTTTCCTGCTTTTCGGTATCAAGTCCAAACAAACGGAAGATATTTAAACATTACCCTAAACAATTACAAGGTCCTTCCTCCAAATGATACGGCTGACATAAGCGAGTCAAGGAGAGGGGGCTCAGCAAGACAACTCAACACGGAAACAGGTAGCAGTGAGACCCCCAGTGCCCTAGGTTCAGGGCCCAGCACCTAAGCTGGCCATGCAGAAAACCCCGGAGCTCAAGCCTGCCCTCATTCCCAAGTGAAGATCAGGAGATATTGGGGCTGCCCCACACCACAGGATGTCGTAGGCAGTCATGGAAAAAAATCAAAATCAAAATCAAAACCCTGGTGTTTTGGATGCGGACTCTCCTATCCGACCAGGCAGGCAAAACGTGGGGGTTCCGATGTGGCAAGACTTGGGGACAGGGCTGGGCTCTTCTCGGGGTCCACAGATACTGGATGGCAAGGGGCGTCTTTTTCCTCCATCGAGGAGAGGCGAGAACCGTCTTAATCCAAAGGCTCGTGGCTCCCAGGCCCTGCAATGTATCTACTGGGCACACACGGCCATGAACCTGAACTCCCTTCCCACCCTCCTCTGTGAGCCAAAGAAAGTCACTCACCGGCCCAATTAGGACAAGTCTTGACCCCGGAGACAAACGTGCATTCCAAGCCAGCGGCTGAGCTAAAGGGCTCACTCTCATCTGAAGTGACCACATCTGGGATGCAAGGACTGCCCAGCCACAGCTCTTTGTACCCATCAAAGGGAGATTGGGCTAGCTAAGCACGTGGTTCTCTGGGTGAGACCCTGTGGGTCCCCTGAGCCCAAGAAGTCTTTCACAAGGAGGTGGAAGGAAGAGTGGAAACTCCTGTGTTAGAAATCACATGCAGCATTCACAGGCTGGAAGTGCGGAGCCCCCTGGGAGCACCCAGGTTGAAAAAAGACCCTGTGTAAATTGCAGTGGTGCATCACCCACATTGTTCCCTGGTTACTTCCTGTCCCAAGGTAAAGTGGCCTTCAGAGTGCCTATATAACCCAGGCCTCGCTGGATTCAACACAAGTCATGAGCACCCAAAGTTTGAGAGCGCCTTGCTGAACATCGAGAACCCTTCCCACCCAGGAGAGCTCAACCTGCCCCAGGCTCGTCAGGAGATACCACACCCCCCCCAACAGCCCCTCGAGTGACCCGCTCACGCTCCTAGCCCAGAGGCATGTCATCAGCTCCCAGCTCTCGGGAGACACACAGTAGATGCTGGCATTGGCCCAGAGGGTCTTTTCCCCCCTGTCTGGATAAAAATTTGGGCTGATTTTGGCCATGACCGTTTGAAACAGTCACAGCCCTGACTAGCACTCAGGCAGACAGCAGTGATCCTTGCTTCCTGGTTTTCAAATGAGCGGCCCAGAGGGGCGGCTCCCAATGTGGTGGGAGGGGAGGAGTGGAAAGGGGAAGCAGAAGGTGTAAGGCAGCTGGTGGCTAGAAGAAAGGGTCCCAGCCTACTTTCCCGGCCCCCCACAGAGGCTCCCCTGGCCGGCCTTCTCTGCCTCCAACCCATCTTACTTAGTCTGTGTGATGGTCCAAGGGAGCTCCCAGAGCTTTTGTGTGCGGAGGAGAGGATGCCGGGGAGGGGAGGGTGGACCCATGTGCTTTGCAAGAGCACCCCACTTGACCACAATTACTGACCCGGATGGGAGGAGTGAGGAGTGGGGGGGGGGCACATCAGTTTAAAGGAGGGACGTGGTCCGAGGCTGGGAAGTCCGAAGCCCCAGCAAGAGCTTTGGTGTTTCCTTGCTAACCCCTGCTCTCTCCTTGTTCAGAGTAGGGTGGGCATTCGCGGGACTGGGAAGGAGTGGCGGGGGAGGGGGGGGAGGGGTGAATGTCACCAGGCAGGGGTGCATTGATTTGTTGAACAAGGCAGCATATGAGGCCTGGCAGTGGGACAATCGGAGAAAACCAGGGTTTTTTTTTTTGTTTTTTTTGTGTGTGTGTTTTAACATGCTACATCACTGTTGAAAACAAACCAAAAAGTTTCAAAAATAATATATAATATATATATATAATATATTTATATAATGAAAGCTATCAACTAGCAGCAATGATTCTAAAGTTATCTTAGCACCAAGACCATAGGGGTGGAGGGCGGGACGTGTGTGGGGGGTGAAGGTACTGGCAGGACAAGGAAAGGGGAGTGACATGGTCAGTGTTGATGACATTTCCATGACCAACAGTGGCACGGGGCCTCGGAGAGAAGATAAACTCAGGAGGAAGGAAGCCACCGCAGTTTTACGTCTGAGCCAAGCAGGCTGGAGGCACGGGGGCCTTGCCTGTGGCCAGAGCACACCACCCTCTGCCCCACGTCCGCCAAGTGAGGGGACCGGACCACGGACGACGCGCGTCTTCCTTCCTCCTCCGAATATGACCTGCGTCCACCATACAGGGGTCTCTGCATATCCAATATGCATGAATCAGATGTGGAAACACGAACAGAAGTTTTGAACAGCTCACGCACATTTGTTTTTAAAAAAAAAAAACAAAACTCCCTTGCGAGGTATACTGGTAGTTAAATGAACAAAAGAGCATCGATCAGACTCCTTTAGCTTAAACCACAGCTTGCCCCAGGGAATAGGCAAGTGGCTATTTCTAAAGCTTATATTGTGGTTGTGTGTGTGTGTGTGTGTGTGTACGTGCGTGTGTGTGCATGTGTGTGTGCGTGTGTAGGCTGATGCCTTGAGAGTCCTGTCTGACCTCTTGTGTATTCCTTTCCCTTAGGACGTCTCTACCCTGTTCCAAAAAGGAGGCATATTCACGGGCATAGATGCAGTGCCCGGTCCCCCACGGCCTCCTGCCAGGCTGAAGGGTTTGGCACGATTTACATGGACATCTCCTGCTACGAACGGTAGCAGGCATTTGATTATTAAATGAACAACAACAACAAAAATACCCCCAACACGTTATATGATTATAAAGACAGAGCATAAATAATTCATGTAAATTGAATACATACTTCCCACTTGCCGTGCTTTTAGCCAAAAATCACTGCCCTATTAGGGTCTGGACTTCTTGGCTCTTCATTTCCCCCAAAGTCCTGGATCTGAATGGAATTATATTATTTTACCCCACAGCATGTGAGAACAGGAATGCAGACAAATTCCCCGCCCCCCCCCCAAAAAAACACTCACCTCATCCCTTCCCCAGGATTTCAAGCTTGGTTGTAAGGCAGTTTTGCCTTCAGTATAACAGGTAACATCTTTAGGATCCAGGGGGCTGGAAGGAGGGAATCCGGAACCCAGAGATGGGAGAGGCAACACCAGGTGGGGAGAGGCTGGGTGTCACAGTTTGACCGACACGTGTATTTCTAAGACCGTGAAGGAACGCTCAACAGGAAATGAGTGAAAACCTCTCAAGCTGAAATCAGGGGGGCGAGGGAGAAAGTGACGCCGCACCTAACCCCTCCCAAATCAGAGATGGGCACCTGCGTGGCGGCGAAGGGGCCAGGCACCCCCATCCTACGTCAAAACCGAGAAAAGAAAAGGCAGGGCAGAAACGCCAACCCCAACCCCCCAACCCCCCAACGAAAACATAAAACAAAAACAAACCACCTAAAGGTGATGACAGAGACCCGTCATTTTAGCTTAGGCTGTGGGTTGGCTGGCAGGTGGGAACGCTGTGGCCCCGGCACAGGCTTCTGTGAGTGAAAACCGTCGCCAAGTGTATTTCGGCCGCCAGACCTTGTAGACAAGAGTCCGTTTCCAACGTCATTTCTCCGTGAAAGCTCCCAGTGGCTTCTGGTGGGTGTGTCACCTTGGTTTTTAAAAATTTTCAGTGTGGATTTATATATATATATTTATATATATATAATATAATATATATTTATATAATATATCAAAGCTTATGAGTATAGATTAAAAAAATATTCAACAGCTTAGTGAACTCTGGGACGCCGGCCTCCTAGATGTCCGGGTAGAACTCTGACCCGTGGTCCACGGTCTGCAGCACGGGCTTCTGTTCTAGTGCCGACATCCTGCTGAGGACCTCGGCCGACAGCGCGTAACTGTTGCCAGACTTCTCCTCGAACCAGCTGTCCAGGGCCCGCTTGGCATCGAAGCTGGCGATGGGCGGGCCGTTCACGGCGATTGTCAACAGGTCGCTGAGCTGCTCCAGGGTCAGGCGGGAGCGGTGGTTTTTGCGAACTCGCTGCAGCGCGTTGCGGCCTTTCTCACAGCAGGCGGTGGAAGTGGGGAGCACTTTGAGGACCTGGATGATCTTGTTCAAGAGTGGGAACCTCTGTTTGTACTTGCAGACGTGGCCAATCAGGTCTTTGAAGCCGTTCTTGGCGTAGTAGTCAGCCTTGAGGTCCCGCCACTCCATCAGCAGACTGCCCCGGGGGTCCTGCCCCTCCCTGCAGACGTCCCGGGAGAAGGCGGGGATGGCCTCCAGGTGGTCGAATATCTGCACCATGTCCTCCTTGCCGTAGCTCACCAGCTCCTCACTGCTCCGGGGCCAGGCGGCCAGGTCGAACACCTGGCAGGCTTTCACGAAGATCCGGCTGCGGGAGTCGAACCTCTGAGCCAGGATCACCTGGGTCTTCTGGCAGATCTTCTCCCTGACGGACTGAAACTTGGCTTCGGCCACCCTGAGGTTCTTCATGGCGACGCCGTTGAAGCTCTCCCGAAAGTTCTCCTCGAACTCCTGGAGGTACTCGCCGGGGGAGTCGGCCAGCCGGCTGATCTCCTGGATGGCCTCCTCGATCTTGTCGTCCACCTGGGACACCAGGAGGTACTCGCCCTGGAAGACGTAGGCCAGGCGCGAGAGCACGGCGATGACGTCCAGGAGAAAGTAGATGAGCTTGACGGACTGGTAGTCCATGAGGAATTGCAACAGCGCCAGCGCGATGGCCGACGCGTCCGCTCGCTGGGTCTGGCTGCTGACGTCCTTGAGGTGGGCCACCACCTCCAGGTAGTCTTTGATGAGCGCGTTGAGGACGTTCTGCTCCCCGATGATCCACCGCACGGCGCGGATGTCCCCCAGGAACTCGGTCTCCTCACACAGGGTGGAGGCCGTGGACCGCAGCTCGCACAGGAGGCGCGGCGAGTAGCGGTAGAAGCTCAGCAGCTGCTTCAGGTTGTTCTCCAGCTCCTCCAGGCAGGGGAGCTCCTTCCCGCTGATGGCGTCCAGGACCTCCAAGTGCGGCCGGTGCACCATGAAGGGCAGGCACAGCAACCAGGGCAGCGTCTTGCGGATCGTCATGAACATGCTGGCACGCAGGCTGGCCGTGACGTTGGCCCCGTCTATGCCCAGGCCGACGGTCGGCTTCTCGTCCTGCAGCCGGATGCCCAGCGCGGAAAAGGCCCGGTCGAGGGCCTGCAGGTAGCTCTCCGTGCCCGAGAAGCCCAGCTCCTGCAGGGACAGGAACTCGGTGGCCGGGGGCCCGTCGCCGCTGGCGTACTGGACGTAGACGGCCACCGTGTCGGCCAGCAGGTCGTCGCTCTGGCCGTCCAGGATGACGCTGAGGCAGGGCGACTGGCGGAGGCGCTCCACCAGGTCCTCCCGCAGCGCGCGGGCGATGTGGTGGATGAGGACCTGGCAGTCGCCTTCGTTCATGTACTGGTCCACCACCTTGAGCTCGCACTTCCGCAGGAGCTCGGCCAGGGGCCGGAAGTCCAGATAGGGCCGGCCCTCGAAGGCCAGGTGGTAGGCGGTGTTGAAAAGCAGCGTCATGTTGCGGCACATCTCCTCCGTCTTCTCGGGGTGCATGCGCAGCTTGTACAGCTGCAGACACTTCTTGTGCAGGTTGCTCTGGCTGTGCAGCTTGATGGTGTGGATCTTGAACTGCTTGGAGCCGATGATGAAGGCCGACGTGCGCGACGACTGCACCGTGTACTGGCGGCACACGTGGCACCACATCTCGTTGAGGGTCGGGGAGTAGCGCAGGAACCAGAACTTCTTGAGCCACTCCTGCTTAAAGCGCCGGATGCGGCGCCCGGCGGCCGAGGACATCTTGGAGGGCTCGTCGGCGGCGGCCAGCATGTCGTTGGAGACGGACTCGTCGGCGGAGTCCACCTCCTGGTCATCGTCCTCCATGACGGCGGGGCCGGACACCAGGCTCTCGGAGGCTGCAAGACAAACAGGAAGGAGACGTTTGAAGACCCGGTGGCGGAAACCCCAGGCTCCTCCGACATGGGCAGGAACGCCGTCCCAAAGGTGGCACGCCGGGTCACACACGGGCCAATTCCTACGACGCATTCTGGACCCCGGCCCTAGAATCTGTCTCATAAGAAGCGCTCTTGTTAACCCGCGTGTGACCTCTCCTGTCTGGGGGTCGGCCCTGGGGGCCGGCCCTGCGCCACCAGCCTGCCCGCTCTCACCCTCCACTAGTGGGCACCCAAGGGATCGAATATCTTCCCCATCAACTGAGCGGCAGACCTGAGGAGAGAACAAAGCCCGTCGAGTGTTCCCAAGACCCCCCCCTTCCCCTCTCCCGGCCCCCCGCCCAGCGAGGACCTGGGGCTTGTGCATCTCAGCAGCTTCCCTCTCAGGAAAGCAGCTGCCATAGCCCCAGGCTATTTCAGGATCAGAACGCAGTTTGGTTAAGACGCATGCTTTGAATATCTGAGACACCTCGCTCTGCGCTGCTGAGGGATGAGGTTAAAATAGGAAATGCTATGTAAACGCCGGACTCAGCTGCAGCTGTGTTCTGAAAAAAACCCTTCCTGGTGGTCGACCAATTCTAACGATCCGAGCAGCCAACAGAAAAGCACCACGGCATGTGGCCGCACGCCCTACCTATATCCGGATCCTTCTAGAACTCTGGGCAGGGGAAGGGGGACAGGACTGTGTGCGGCAGAAGAGCAATTTGGGAACAGAAGAAAGAGGCTGTGTTCTGGGACTGAGTTCAAGAAGCCCCCCCACCCCCTCGACGGGACGCCCTGCTTGGGACTGGGGAGACAGGGAGATCGGCTTTAGAAGTTGCCATGGGGCTGAGACGGCAGGGGAACCACTAGAGAAAGGCAGCAGGTCAAGAACAAAGCACACACCCCTCCTGCAGTGGAACTTCCTTTATTGATGGGGAGGATACAAGGGTGTGACATGGGGCGTCCAGCTGGGGCTGAGAAGCAGCCTGTCCCGGGCAGGTACCTGCGGGCCGGAGCCCGCCCCCTGCCTGGCACTCCTCACCGCCCTCACAGGGCCCTGCCCGCCGGGCACCCTTCCCTCCGGCCTCTGTCTCATCCACACGCCAACTTACCTGCGGGGTCCGAGAGCTCTGGGAGCTCCAGGGCCTGAACAGGGGGTTCAGGAAGCTTCCCGGACTTAAGCATATCTAGTTCGGCCTGGAGCTCCCGGACCTTCTTCTTGAGGCGAATACAGTTAGGGCAAAAGGAGGTGGTGGGGAGCTCGTGAGGGTCGGATGCAAGGGAGGCCTCGGCGGGGCTGTCAGCCTTGAAGGACGATGGCTCTTCCTCTTCGTCCTCCAACGCGGCCGGCTCCTTGGAGGCCCCCTGGGGGATCTTGCGGTCTCCTTCCGCCTGTGTCCGGCTGACATTCGGCACGCCATGGGACACGGTCATGGCGCAGCGACCGTAGGCATCGTCCTGGTACTTGGGGACTTTCCGGATGACCAGGGAGGTGCTCAGCGCCAGCTGGTGCGCTTCCGCCTTGGCAGACTCCAGGGACGCCTCCAGCACGTCCTTGAAAATGAGGTCAATCTTCTTCTTCTTGGCCTGGGGGTGCGCGTCCCCCTCGTCAAAGCCACGCTTGTAGGGACTTTTGCCCTGTCTCAACACGGGGAGCTGAAGGGGCCCCCTCAGGTCTTCTAGGTTATCCAGAGCCTGCTCAGACTTCTCCCTCTGCAACCTCTTCTCTCCTAGGAAGGAAAACCAGGGTGTGAGGAAGTGGGGAAAAGCCCCAAAGTGGAGAAACCAACAGAAAACCAGGCAGGGGCTCCTACCGGGAAAGTCAGCGGACAGGTCCCTCTGCATCTGGCCTTGTGGGGCAGGTGTGACAAAAAAGGGAGAGGCGGGGCACTCAGGGCATCACAGGGTCTAGCGTGGGACCCCCCACAAGTGGGAAGCATTCTTTAAAAAGGCCACTTCAAGGGAGACTTATGCATATAAGGGGTGCATCTGGAAGTTGAGAGAATGCCATGGGGGAGGGTGGCTGGAAGTTCAGTCTCTCTAGAAGACGACACCCCAGCGATCAAGCAGCGTGCGTGGGGGCGGCCCTCAGAGCTCAGTTCTCGTGGGCCCCTGCCCTCCAGGCTTCTAGTCCAGTCCTGACAGTTGGAAGATGGCTGCTTCGACTTGGTAAAAGGTACACACGGAACACGGAGTCCTCTCCTTCCTGCTCCCTGGTTGCCCCGAGCCGGCCCCGCAGGGGCCAAGTCTGACCCACAGCAAGCATCCTTCCTAACTCGCCCAGAGATCAGGAGATGAGGTGCACGGAAGAGAGTGTGACCTGAACATCTGTGGTTCCTCCCACAACCGAGGCAGGAAGGAAAGGGAAGATGGGGGCCCTCACAGTGGCTGACGGCTCCCGGGCCGGTGGCCTCCAGCACGATAAAGAGGGGCGTGGCCATGCCGACCCAAAGCGTTCTTGAAATACAGCTGTGTCTCCTTACCTCATGGTACAAAGAACGTTCCCTTTTCTAGCTCTTTCCATCATGCGACTGCCTTCAAAGACGTGGCTGAGCTCCCAACAATAATTTTAGCCCGATTCTTTGAAACGACCGACACAGCTTCATAAATTGCTATAGAAAGGGCGTGCGCTCCCCTGGGGTGCAGGCGCTAAAGGGGACCCTCAGAAGGTCCTGGCGGCAGCCTGTGGAGCTGGGAAATCTCAAAGGCTTCCTAGATAAAGGTGGGGCCCCGGGAGACGACTCTGGGTAATGACGTGACCTGAATATATGTCACAGTTGGGTTTCCAAAAAGTGCGTTTGCTAAAAACCTCTGCGCGAAGGCCAGAGGATCTCTGTGAACAATCCAGAAGTTCCATGCAATGACCGAGCCCTGGCTTCCTGCAGCTGGCAAGGGGTGCCGTGCCCTGGCCCATTTTTGCATGCAGGTTTCCTAGAGGTAACACCACAGAAGGGGGTGACCTAGTCAGAACGCCTCTCTTCCATCCTCACATGAATGCCTGAATGGCAACCTTACGTTCAAGGCCCCTGGATGTCAGGTGATCCTCACAGCCTACATTGCTGTCACTTCTGAAGAGTAGGGAGATGAACACTTGGTAAAAACGCAACACGTTTGCATTACGGGTCAGATACGACACTTGCCCGTTTAGAATCTCTAAACATCAAGGGCCACACTTTCACTTCTCATAGACTGATCGGGCAGCAAACAGCTGAGGATGTCAGGGGGTCAAGGCCTCTTGGCCAGAGAGTCCTCACGCCTCTCTGCTTAAAGACAAGGTCATTCAAATTTCCTAGGATGAGTGGGAGACTTCTTAAGACTCAAGGCGTTCAGAAAAATCTGAAGGGCGAAAAAGACCTTTCAGCGTTATGAAACTGATTTCAAAGCCACCGTAAAATATAGGGGAAAGCACCACAAAGTGAACCAGTGACTCAAGGTAGATCAAATAACATAAGGTTTTTTGAATACACATATTTGATGCATCCCGTTCTTAAAAGAGAACCACAAAGGCATACTTTTTCCACTGTGTTCAGGAAGCAGTTCTGGGCTTCAGTTAACGTCCCTACTTAAGGAAGACTAGTAATTCACGCTCTGGCCCTTCTCAGGGCTCCAGCCTCCAATTACAAAGAAACTTCCTTCCATGCGAGACCTTCAGCGACTGAGTGTAGGGATGCCCTTTCCAGAGCGGGGCTGGCATGCCCATCTAAGATGCCACTGACTGTATTCAGAGTCTGCCAAAGCAGCAGGCTCCAGACACATCTATGCATCTAAAGGTCACTGAGCTCACGACTGCTCCCAAGGGCTTTGGGATCGAGCCCACCCACTGCTCTGGCCCGGCCCCATGGTGCCTTTCAGTCTCCTTCCTGTTTCCTACCGCTCAGCCTGGCCAGGAATAGACACTCCTTCTTCCTGTATCTTCACAAATCTTCATGTATCTCATTTGAAGCCTCTCTGCCACGCCTCCTTTGCACCACTCCTGAAAGCTCACTCCGTTCTCCGAGCAATCCCCTTGGGTCTCAGGGCTCTCTGAGCATGACTGCAGCATGAGGTGCTTTGGAGAAGACTCTGGGGGTGGGGGCTGGGCGGGGGAAGAAGGACGTTACAAATCCAGAAGAGTTTAAGAAGATTATGGCCAAGGGATGGAATCTGTGTCCTCAGATATGACTTCTCTTGGTTTTCTTTTCTTCTGGTGATAGGATTCTTTTGTAGACTTCTTGGCCATCTTCATTCGTGTCTTCTTTTATCCATTCAGCAAAGATGTACTGAGCACCTACTGTGTGTCAGGCACGTTTACACAAGGCGTCTTCAGAGGCCGGATGGAAACCGCGTGAATCTCATCATAGAAACACACCTTCCCGAGTGAGGTGGGCATGTGGCCAGCCCCCGGTTACAAAGAGACAACAGATGAGGATGTCTGTGGGGCCTCCTCACTGCCCATCCGATCACAGTTACCTTTTACCAAGTCAGGCAGCAGCTGTACACTCAATGTCCACAATCTGCTTTGTTCTGTTTGGGTTTTAAAAATAGCTTTCGGGGCCCCCTGGGTGGCTCAGTTGGTTGGGCGTCCGACTCTTGATTTTGGCTCAAGTCATGGTCTCACGGTCATGAGATCAAGCCCTGTGTTGGGCTCAGCACGAGCCTGCTTGGGATCCTCTCCCTCTCTCTCTGCCCCTCTCTGTGAGTGCTCTCTCTCTCTCTAAATAAATAAGTAAACTTAAAAAATCAACATAGCTTAACTGCAATGGGCCACCCCACCCCCTTTTCATCTTCTCCACTCATCTTCCATATGAAGATTTATTTCTAGTAAGTAGGTTGGTCAGGAACGTGATAGCGTGGGGCTTGGGTACAGCCCTGGTTCCTGAGACCAGATGGACTCTGGGTATTTGAATGTTTTTTCAGTGCAAGGAAGGTCCCCTTGAAAGAAAGTGCGGATTCACCAGTTTGCCTAGGCTCAGGCTGAGGACGGGATAGACAGGCAAACAGCTAGGGGCTGGGGAGTATTTTAAGCCACTTTCAAAGGACTCAATTAAATGGAGCTGATGGACATCTCACCCCCAGGCCACCAGCCACACCTAAGGTCACCTTCCCACCTCCCTCCAACTGTCTTCTAACAGAGATTGTTCATGCACATGTGTTATTAGGACTTTCAGGAATGAGACCAGGAGGAAGCTGGGAAGAAACAAGTTTGGTCTGAGAGGTCGTGTATAACACCATGGGTTAGAGCATAGACCTTGGACTAAGACGTTACACAGATGTGGATGAGAAACCCAGCACCGCCCCTCCCCCACAGCCATGTGACCCTGGGCCAGTCCTATTTACATCCGATGCTTAGTTTCTACATTTGTAAGCTGCGGATGATAAGCCACATGGGATCAAGCATTAGAATTAAAAGTTTACAGGGGCGCCTGGGTGGCTCAGTTGAGCATCCGACTTCGGCTCAGGTCATGATCTCATGGTTGGTGGGGTCGAGCCCCGCATCGGGCTCTGTGCTGACAGCTGAGAGCTTGGAGCCTGCTTCGGATTCTGTGTCTCCCTCTCTCTCTGCCCCTCCCCCGCTCGTGCTGTCTCTCTCTCTCAAAGATAAGAGTAAAAAATTTTTTTTCTAAAGTGACAATTGAGGGCTTACAATGGTAAAGGTGGGCGTTGTTCTAAATGTGTCGTGTATATTCCCCAGCTCATGCCCACAGTGCACTTAGAGGTAGGTGTTGTGATGACCATGTGGACCCTGCAGAACGAATGCTCTGCAAGGAGTAAGTGCTTAGTAAATGTCAGCTATTGCTGAGACATAGCGTCTTCCCATCATTGAGAGGTGGAGGAAGAGGGTCAATTCTGATTGAACTTATGTGCTTGGCTTCGGGGCCTTGTTCTCTCTCCTGGATCCTCTCAAATGTCTGTACCGGGCGTGTCCCCTGGAGCTGGAGCGACCGCTGTCCTGCCCGGAGCTGCTGCTCGCAGGCGGCCCGTCCCATGCCCACCCCCCGCCCCACGCCTCGACCCCCGCGTCCCTCCGGGTCTCCCCACTGCCGCCGCACTGCATTTCCCAGCGGTCTTCGCGGGAAGGAAGCTCCCGGAGCCCGCCTCCGGTGGGCACTCACCTCGGGCCAGATTGCGGTGGATAGTCTCCTGGGACATGCTGTGTAGACGCTTCATGTAGTCCTCGCTGTACCAGACCCGGAGCCGCTCCCCCGGCCGGATGTCCCGGCGCGCGCGGAAGTAGATGCGCTCGCTGTGCTGGAAGGCCAGCAGGTTCTGCTCCCTCTCTTCCCGGGAGATGACCACGTACCTGGGGGCGAGGGGGACAGGTGAGAAGGCGCGGGCCACTCGGTGGGGCACCGTGCCGCGCAGGCGCGGGAGGTCGGAGGTCCGCGAGCAAGGGCCGTGCGCCAAAGTCGGAGGACGGCCGCCTGTCTGGGGTCGGGACCCGGCCAGAGCCGGTTCCTCATCTCAACGTCACGGTTTCGTGTGACCCCAAGCAAGTCTCTGAGCCTCTGAGGATCGCCGTTTTCTGAGACTAGAAATGACAGCCGCCCTGCCGACCTCCCACGTACTGGTAAATATAAAATTCAACACCAGATACAAAAATGACGACAGAACTGAAAGATCGCGTCATTCCTTTGCTCTTCACCAAATTTTAACCGCAGGGATTCCCAGACACCTGCAGGCCTCTGATGGCAGTTAAGTGTGGGATTCTTGGGCTGTCTCCAGGATTTCACAAAGCCTAGAAGAAAGAACCCACGTGACAAGAGTGCCCAAAAGGTCAGTTAACCAATGCTAAAGATCAATGTCTTTAAAAAGCGAGTGTCCCATGTGGACAGAAGAGGAAGGTAAATAAGAGACAAGAGAAGATTAAGTGATGACTGACTAATCTAAGTTATTTGAAGGTAAGGAAACTAAGACTCAGAGAAGCTAAGTGACTTGCTTGAGGTCACACAGTGAATAAATGGGAGATGGAGCTTTGAGGTCTGTGATTTTCCCACAAGATCTCACGGCTCCTATGTGGGCACGTAAAGCACCAACTCAGCCATGCCCAGATAACCTTTAAAGTTCTGCCAAACCCTCAGAATCTCGCCCTTACCCCATCTCCCTGAAATGACATTTCCAACATCCAACCTGCCCCCTTCCAAAGCTGAGATGATGTAACACCTCCAGAGAAGCAGAGGCGGATAGATCAAAAGGACAAGAGGAAACTATCTGGAGGCTTAAGGATCCGTGCCATGCGGGCATCCAGGAAATTCATCATAAAAAATAAACTTCTTTTCCTTATGCCACGATTTGTCTCAAAAGCCAGGCTAGAAATCAAAGTCGGACTGACTGGCATCGCCCAAAGAACTGAATTTGGAGCAGTCCGGGGTGCGCAATAATTCCTGGGAAAAACCCCAAATGGATAATGAACAAGTATCCAGCCTCACTAATAAGAAAAGAAACAGCAAGTAGCCCATCGTCTCATTGGCGCAGACGCCTCTCCCTGTCTCCCTCTCTCTCTTTTTAACGATAATACCCACATTGGCGAGAAAAGCGTCTCCCAGACGAATGGTGGAGAATAAATTAGCACAAGCCTTTGGGAAACAAATTGGCAACACGGACTGGTATTCGTACACCCACGTTCACAGCACCATTATTCACAACAGTCAGCAGGTGGGAGCCACCAAGTGTCCACTGATGGATAAGCGGATAAACGGAACGGGGAATACACAGACAATGGCTATTACTGGGCTTTCAAAAGGAAGGGAATTCTGCTATATGCTATACCACGAAGGAACCTTGAAGACATACACTAAGGGAAACAAGCCAATCACGAAAGGACAAATACGGTAGGATTCCATTTATATGAGGTACTTGCAGGAACGGTCAAATTCATAGAGACAGAAAGGAGGACCTGGGGCGGGGTGTTGCCAGGGGCCAGGGTAGAGAGGGGGGCATGGAGAGTTCATGTTTCATGGGAATATAGTGTCAATGGGGGAAGAGGAAAAGAGTCTTGGAGACAGTTGGTGAGACTGTGCAACGTGCATGAAATTAACGCCGCTGAACCGCATACTTTAAAAAACAAATTTTATGATCTGTGTGTTGTCACCATTTTGGAAAAATTTCCAAAAGGATGATAAGATGCAGACCAAGTCGACAAACCTGGCATACCACCGCCCTGGCTATATCATCGGTCACGATAATGCAAGAGCAAAGACATGGAAACGCCGAATACCGGAGAAACGGTTTAGTAGTGAACCGTGGCAGGTTCGTACGATGGAATTGTGGCCCACCTTATAGCACAGTGGTTTCAGACGATCTTTCATGACAGGGGAGCATGTCCTGATAGAATGCAGAGTGAGAACAAGCTCTTTAGGCTATGGTTCCCATCATGCTTTAAAAACAAGCCTCAGTAAATGACTTGAAGGAAATATACCAATGTTGTAACAGTGATTGTCCATTATAGGTGGATCTGCTTTATCAGTTTTTCTGTATTTTCCAGGTTGTCCTTAGTAGGCAAGTATTACAGTTACCCCTCTTCCACCCCCTAAGACAAGACACACAAACTCCACTTCCGGTCCCAGTGGCCATCTCCATGGCCGGCTGCATCGTGAATCTACATTCCTGGCCCCTCAGCATAGCACCTGAGAGCACATCCTGCCCCTTGTCACAGAGAGTCCCCTGTACTCTGTTCTCCTCCGCCCTGGAGGAGGCTGTGACCTTATAATGGGGACCACCAGAGTCCAGGGACCAATCTACCTGGCAACAGGCTGCAGCACGTATCCTAGGGGTGTGGGGGCCACACAGGGTGTGTGGCGCTTAGATCCCCAGAACGTGCTTGTGTCCAGAAACTAAGTCAATGCATCTGCGTGCTTGGCAGCATCGAACATGAGCGCTGGTCTCCCTGAGCTGTGAAGTCAGTACTGTGATATCCGTGACGCCTAGTCACGCTGCTAACCAAGAACTTGGGGGAAGGAAAAGAGGACCCCTGGCCCAGGGAAGTCTTTCCAGATGGATGCTTCTGAGCTGCAGCATTCCAGCAGTCCGGGGTCCGCTTTGCCCCAGATCTGCGATTCCTTCTGAACGTGCAAAATATTTTCCAGTCCCCAATTTAGTGAGAGCCTGGGGTTTGACATTCCAAAATTAATCAAACGTGTGGTTAGCAGGGAACAGAACTGGGGTAGATCCAAACTTTCCTACTCCCGGATTCCAAAGGCAAACTGCTCATTCATCTTTTGCCTCACAAGAATCACTTCCATCACAGAGCACAAGGAAAGATACACTTCTTCTCTGGTTTTGGGGGTATAAACAATCATCAGTCTCTAAGAGCTAGCATTACCTCCTCTGGCGCTCAACGTTAGGAGAGAAAGAGATGAGGAACACGTAACCATCAGGGACTTATTCAAAAGAGCAACTTCTAGACTAGGTCCGAAGGTTTAGAAAGATTCAGGTCCATTTCCCTTTCTACCTCCTGGTGGTTTCCTGCCCAACAAGGATCGAGGTTTGGAACAAGAGCCCCCAAATCTCTGCATCAATCACAGTCTTTCAAGACAGATCAAAATTTGTTCAGCATCTGGTCACATTCGGTCATTTTAAAACTTGGCATTTGAAATATAATATAGATGGCAACTCTCAGTGAATGGTAACAACCCACTCCCCCAAGATGTTTAATGGAGCCAGCTAAATCCCAACACCAGTACTGTGGGATGAGAACTCTCTCTTTTAAGTATTTTGCAATAACGTCCCATGGTTTAATCCACTCTCAGAATCCTTCGGTTTCCACACAACAATCCCTTCATGTCCCATTTCATGGCTGCAGATCACCAAGGGCCCTTTCTGGAAGACACAGCTTCTAGAGAAAATTTTCTAGTGAAAATCCCTGTATCTGTTGAGGTCACTACCTCGTTGGAGAGAAGGCACAGCATATGTCAGGAGGGTGGAAAATGGCCAGCACAGGCCACTCTACACATGCGAGGGGTCACCTGATAGCTTTTTAAATCAGACCCACAGGGGTGACAACCATTGAAGCAATCGAGGGGGTGGGTGGTAGCAGTGGTGGTGGAGAGCTGTGCTCTGGCCTAAACTCTTCGTGATGATAATGGATTGTTTTCATTCCGAACTCCTCACTGACTTTGGGTATTGGGTAGATAGGCACTAAGGCAGCACTTCTTAGACCTCACCCTCAGTGCCTTATCAGATGCACCAGATTTTTCTAGCTGGGACGGGAAATGACTATCGGTTTCAACCGAAGAGAGACAATAACCCACGGGGCATCCCGGGCTCAGACATTCCTGCTCAGCGGGTATATCTCTGATGGAGAGGAAGATGTGCCAACCATGGAGGCAGGAATGGGAAAGACTGACCAAGAAGAGGCGGGATTCTGTTTTCTCCCATGCATTTAGGTCTCTGAGCTGGGCGCATCTTTGGGTCATTCATCCACCCACCAGATGGTCACCGAACTCTGACAGAACATCACCCAGCCAGCCTTTAATGCTGCCGGAGGCCTCGGACTCTTAGGGTGGGACTTCGCTATCTCAAGCTGAAATGGGCCACCCATTCCCTTCCATCCACTGGCCTCTGTTCCACCTTCCTGTTTTGGTGTGCTCGACCCACAATCCTCACTGAAGCCAATAAAAAGGACCTAACAAAATTTCATCGGAAGTTCACAGGCTCTCCATCTCTCTGTCCCCAACTTGATCCCTTCCCTCCCCAGGACCAGAGGGAAGGGCCAGCCAGTACCTACACCTTGCTGGAGAAGATCGCGGGCTGGGTTTCACAGTATCTTTGCCTCTTGTGGAAATCGAGTAACTTTGATTCCCATGCCCAAGCTTTTCGGCCAAGAACAGGAGAACCTAGGTTCCAAGAGGTCAAAGGCAGGCTGGAACCTTCTGGAGCGGGGACAGATCGCTGGTCAGGACATAGGGGTTTCCTGCTTGGGAGAACCTCTCCGTGTGACTGGCAGTAAGCCAGGGCAATGCACAGGTTAGGAGGCCCCTTCTCCTCTTCTAAGGAGACTCCCAAAGGGACCCATAGGAGCCCCTCTGGTTACTTTGAAAGCCTCAGATCTCTGTGGGTAGGGTCTGGCCTGTGATAGATAGACAGATGCTAGGATCTGTGGGGAGCTGTCCAGAGGAAAAAAAAGGTCACGCCTCAGAGTGAAGTACACTGGCGAATGGATAGCCCCTGACCTTCCGGAGTCTCCTGCCAGAAATAGTGATTTTTTACCCCCAGGGCCCCTAGCTTCTTTTAGGGAACAAAAGGTAAAATTCGCTTAGCAGCATCTTGCTTTTGCTGTGCGGAGACGTTAAATACAGCTCAGGG